GGGGGGGGGGGGGGGGGGGGGGTTGGCTGTCAGAGGAAACTGAGTGGGTTTAGGGAGATAATTCATGCATGCATTTAGTTCATCTGTTTGCATGTGGTAAATATAAAGTATGCTCTAATATAAACATGTGAATTATTTTCCAAGTATCATACATCAAACTCAAGAACATTTACTTACAGCTTTTGTCAGCTCTTGATTTGAGAACACCTCCCCAGGATTGTTGACTACTCGCAGGATTAAATCTAGGAAGAAACGTGAGAGAAAAATTCTTTATTATCAAAGAACGCTGTTTTGATGTTTCGTGCTGCTTCGTGTCATCTCTGTGTACAGTTCCTGGCCTCAGGGACAGCGTGTCCTGCCCTTTATAAAAGATTCTATAATTTTCACATTGTATGAGTGGAAATCTGACACCGACATCTTCTGGTAACTAGGAGACGGGTGGGCCTTCAGGAGATTACACAATAGAAAGCCTGTCATTTATGTTACCACTTAACCCTGTTATTGTGTACTTCATTCACATAAAAAGTCGTTTCTGGTAAGTGAGACGAAACGCTCAGGTGGTGATCAAACAAGCCTTTTATGCACCTTTTTTTTTTTACAATATGAGTGACATCAAACCTCGCTATAAATACAATCCCTTATTCTTTTACGTCGTGCTTTTATACATTTACAGCCTGAGGTGTTGGGATTTGTGCTGACTGAGGCACGCAGGCTTGAAAAACTCCTTCAATCATTACCTTTTTGGTCATAGAGAGATGAAAGAGTGTTCACTTTTATATTCGTCAAAAGGTTTTCTATACGTACATCTTTAGGTGAGTTTTACTGAGTTTAGGTTAAAAAAATCTTATTTAAAATCAATATCAAGTTGGAATAATAAGTGTAACAGAGGCTGCTTTATAGGTCAAGTTCAACAAATCACACAAGCATACAACAGTCTGCATGTTTGCTATAAGACAGGAGACAAATGATCTAAGGCAAGAAACCAAATACAGGTTAACGATTGACTGAGCAATTTGTGAGCGATTCTGTTTACTTAATGGTTGACCATTCCTAGGATGTTTATGTTCATGTTACCAAGTTCTTCAACCCATAGGTAAAGTTTGAATAGAAACTTCGCTCTATTGTTAAAGGCATCTATATGTGATTAAAATAGAAGACAGCAGCAGATTCACCTACCTGTAGGAAAAGGATGAAGCTGAACTGTGCCAAGAAAGGAACGAACAAAAGGCATCAGAAAGTCCGCATTGGAGTTCTTTTGGACCATGTTGTTGTATTGAGGCTGGGTGATGTTCTGAGCGGATTCCCCTGCTTGACATGTGAGCTGGGCAGAACCGGCCTGGACCAAGCTGAGGCCCAGCAGCAGCAGCAACATCGTCCCTTCAGAAGCACCGTTTGGCCATCTCCACATATTCCCACATAAGCACATGTTCTTTGGTTAAAGTGGGTCGGACGACTTTATCAGAAGAAGAGGAGGAAACAGTCCGAGTTTGATTAACTCATGGTGCAAGCTCTGTCTGAACGCACCTGGAAACAAGAAGAACAGACTGAATACAATGCTCCACTCAGAAAAGAAAGCAGCCACAGTGATCAAAGAAGAAATTCATAGAAACCCACAGAGTGACTCAGACCATCACAAAGACAGGATTAAAGCGGTTCCCTAAAGTGTGGCAGTGGAAATAAAAGCTGTTGTCTATCAGAGCAATGACAATAAAATTTTAGAAATGGGAAATCATAGATGTTTGATGATTGTCTATTTGATTTCAGAAATAACTGTTCCCTTTTACGAACGTGTGGAGGATGTTGGCTTTTTACTGTATTGTTATATGAAAAAGTCAGGGAACTAACGTGACGTGAGCAACCTATGTGTTCAGAGTGTAAACAAGCATATCAGCTGCTGTTACCTGCATCAGTTTTGTTTATACCAAACCCTTCCTGTTCTGCAAGGCTCCAAAGATGGCCATATTCCATCTATCTGGGCATCTATTAACCCTTTAAATCCTGACACAGGAAATAACACCCAGACATGCCTTTTTTTATATA